ATAATGCTTCCAAAGCCAAATACAACTGATTTGGAGATACCATGCTCTTCTGAGTAGATATCTGCATAGCAGTAGTATTTTCTATAAGTAACTGGATGACTGAGTCCATAAATAGATTTCACCAATAGATCAAGCCCTTACAATAGGCAAGTGGCTTCAAACTGAAAACCAACTCCTTATACCACCCAATTTGTAACCACCACGCTACCAGAGCTCCTTATACGGTATTTGGAGTCTGGTGTGGCACTATAGGATAAACACTGGACTGTAAGGTTGGTTTGAATTGCAAGGTTGGTGGTTCAAACTCACCAGCTGCTCCTTGGAAACCCTATACAGGGTTATTACTATGAGTCAGAACCTACTTGATGATGCTTAACAACAATATACAGTATTTCGCCATTCAAAATACAATTGAACTAACTACTGGTACGTTGATTGCAACTCATGACAACCCATGTGTATTAGAGCATAACTTGTGCTCCTCGGGGTTTTCAGTGGCTGGTTTTTTAGAAGTAGATTGCCAAGCCTTTCTTCTGCGGCACCTCTAGACTCAAACCTCCAAGTTTTAGAGTAGCAGCTAAGTATGTTAAGTGTTTACACTACCCAGGAACTCCTCAGAATCATTAGGGATTACATCATGAACTAAGAAGACAAATATTTAACATAAATGCTCTATTTAGTAGAAGAGTAAGCATCCTTCATTTGCAGGGAATAAATGGAATATATTACTTAATATTGTTTGAGTAGTGCTTGGCAAATGTAAATATTATAACATGGATACACATAAGATGAAATATTTTCTCATGTTGTCATTCTTATTAAAAACATAGTAATACAAGTCTTTAAAAAGTACCTCCTTGCAGGGTCCAGGATGAAATACACTCAGAAGCAGAAAAGTCAATCAAAAAAAATATACTTCATTTTATCTAGACACTGTGTTTTATTAAAATTGTTTTTCCATATTGTATACAAATAACTTTTGAATTCAGTCTAAGCATACCCTCAGAATGATGTTAGAGTCGGAGGGCACAATATAAACACAAATTACTACAAATCACTGAAATAGAAAAAGGTTGCAAAAGTTATTTTCACTGCAAAATAAGTCAAACTAAATTCAAAGCATTATGCTATTAATAGAATACTTTGTTTGACATGTAATTTACCCCCTCCCCCCCATTGGTCTTCAAGCTGAATTAAGACATTAATCATAATATTATGGAATGTTCAACATTCATGCTTGGTAATCAGATATATTCATCCACAGTTCAAATTTGTTCAGATAGGTTGGTGATTTTGGTGTATGTTAGCCTTGAGGAAGTAAGTGATCTTAACAGTAAGATGTGATGGGAGAAGTCTCCGATGCCAAACTTAGTAACAATCAACCAATGCTATAGATGAAAGCTAAACAAAGTGCATTTGTGATCATTTCAGTCTACGTCTATGTAAAAAAGCAAACTAGATGGGTAATGTTATTAACTCCTCACATTTCAAATCAAGAAATTGTCAGCACATGAAAAATGGGATTGGGGAAGGAAGTGATTCTAGAATAGTCTTTTAATTTTTCACTTTAATAGGTGTTCACCAAACACAAAACCTGAAATTATTACATATATTCCAATTTCTCTGTAACAAAATCAAAGTGTGGAGTACATACTTATTTCTAATTTCAAACGGCCTTTCAGGGTTTATATGCTTTGAAATGCAAGCATGGCTTTAAAGGATCAAAATGACTAATTACAGATGAATAATAATATAGACAGTCCTAGGAGGCAGCGGGGTAGGCGTTTTAATTGGAAATAAGCACTGTAAGATAATGCTAATAGCAGTGCAGCAAAATGAAGGTTAAAAAAAAAAAAATCAAAGTGTTGATGATCCTCCTATTTTTGATGGATTTTCGTTTTAATCATCGCCTCCACAGAGAATCAGCAGTACCTTCCGGTAGTCTCCAGATGTGTCACCCTGGGGCAAGGCAAGCAAAGTTACAGTCAAGATAATTGGGTCTTTCAGTGGAATGTGCAGCTCAAAGTCACCTAGGTTAAGTTTTTCAAGCTCCTCTGGATTCTTTTCAGATATATATATATATATATATATATTTTAAATATATATATATATTTAAGTATATATAATTTATATATATTTAAGTATATATAATTTATATATATTTAAGTATATATAATTTATATATATTTAAGTATATATAATTT